TCTGCATGTCAGTGTAGGAAGGGCCTGACTATATATTGCGGTTAGATTTCAGTCCATGATGACCAGTTATCATCCCTCAAGGCTCGTTGGCATAAGCTGCTGGCTAGTTGTGCAAGCCATGCATTAACCCACTCAGGATATGACGTGGATTGCTCACTGCCATCTCCCACAGAACTTGCAAATACCGTTCGTCGCCTGAAGCCCAAGAAAGCTCCTGAAGTGAACAGGGTTCCAGCCGAAATCTACAAGTCTTGTCTACTAGCTCTCTTTGATCATTTGTACGAGCACTTCTGCTCGATATGGGAGACCGAAATCTGTCCTTCCTCGTGATGTACCTCAGTAGTACTGCCATTTCCCAAAGAAGGTGACCGAACTGTGTGCAGTAATTATCGCGGGATTAGCCTAATCCATGTGGCTACCAAACCCTCGCACGAATCTTGCTTCCCCGCTTTGCTAATGAGGAACCTGCGAACTCTCCATCACCAAGGTGGCTTTTGTCCGGACAGAGGTTGCACTGACCAGATCTTCACTCTAGGTCGGGTACTCAAACATTGCTACCAGTTCCAGTAGCCCATGTTTGTTTGATTCGTTGATTCTCGAGCTTCCTTTGACTCAGTTGACGGTGAAGCACTCCGAACAATTCTACTTGCTGATGGCGTGCCAGTTAAAACCGCTCACCTGATGAGACCATACTACCTTTGCACGGATTCTGGTGTATGGAGAAAAAACAAAGAAATTCAACATCACTACTGGAGTCCGGCAGGGTTTGCCCACTTTCTCCAGTACTATGCAACTTCGCGGTCGATTGAGTTATGTATCATCCTCTTGAGGACTATTGTGGTGTACAAGTTAATCCTGACTTCTAGCTGTCAGACCTAGCATTTGCTGACGATATCGCTATCCTTGCAGAAGATTCTATATCACTGCAGTCACTGTTAAATCGTGTCAACCGATCAGCCTCTTTGATCGGCCTCGAAATTAACATCATCAAGACGAAGTACTTCTCATCGTCAGTCACCCATTCCGCTCCGTCGCTCTCCTTACATGGACAACTCCTCGAGTCTGTTCTTGAATTCAGCTGCCTTGGATCCACTACTCTCCCCAATGGTCACGCTACATCCGAAATCCGGAATTGTAATGGCAGCCCCGGAACAGCTTTCTGACGACTGAGAAACACCTTTTAGCGAAGGATGGAAATTAGTTTGAGAACAAAAATCCGAGTGCTCTCTGCGACCATTCGTGACATTTTACTCTATGATGGCGAAACATGGCCGTCTGGATCCGATGACTTCCTGAAGTTGGAAACCTTCGACCATTGATGTCTAAGGGTTATCTTGAGGACACAATGGGATGAGCGTACCACCAATGACGAAGTTCGTAAGCGCTGTTACGGTCTTCCGAAGCTCTCAGCGCTCATCCACCGCCGCAGATTTTAGTGGTTCGGTCACGTCCTCCGCAGACCAGACATTGACTTCACTAGGGCCGTGCCTCCTCCCTCGCCTTGCCAGGGTTGGTGTCGTCGCCCTGCTAGAGAATTGGATACGTGGTTCGTTGCAATGAAATCTGATCTCGTTCTTCTGGGACTCCATGTTGTACATGATGCTCGCCACTGGAAAAATCATTTTACCAGTATCTGCGTGGAGCTTACCGCTGACCGTAGCGCTTGGCCAGCTGCAATCCGCGACATTCATGCAGCCGCCTCATCCTGTCGCAGAAGCTATCCGCAGTAAACGAAACGAACGATGCTGGTGACCACCGAGAGAATGCGCACCACTAACGGGCGGAAGCCAACACCACCTTGGGGGTAGTTTTGCTCTCGGTGGCAGTCGATCAGACAATGGAGACAGACTGCTTGTTCTTGGCTCTGACCATCGTTTATATGTTTCGAGCACTAGTTTTCGGCACTCGAGGAGACACACTGCTACCTGGTGCCCGCCCTCACATACGCAAGATTGCTCCCAGCTTGACCACATAGCAATCAGCTACAGATGGCGCGGAAGCGTAACGAACTGCCGATCGTACTGGTCAACTTATACTCTTATCATGCATTGCTTCGTGCTAAGCTTTGCATGCGTTTCGAAGGATCACCTAAGCGCGCTCTGTACCGACCGGACGTCGCGAATCTACAAAACCCTGCTATTTTAACCAAGTACCAAGCCTCACTGTCAACCTTGGTTGGCTCAACTATTGACGATGATCTCGATTCGCAGTGGGCGCATATCAAAGATGCTTTAGTTTCTGCCAGTGTCTACACATGTGCAGTTACCCGTCACCCATCGAAGCATTGGATTTCCGCCGTCTCCTTGTCGCTGATGGACAAACGCCGCTTGATCCCGTCGGATTCCAGACACAGTGACGAACGCCAATCCCTGGGTCGAGAGTTGCGCAGGAGTCTGCAAGTGGACCGCGAAGCTTGGTGATGTGAACGTGCTAGGGTGATGGAGCTTGCTAGTCTCTCTGGTAATACCAGGAAACTTTTTCATCTCATTCGAGTCACCGAAAGTGTTCGATCTGGTATAAGTGGAACAATATGCGATGAGGATGGCACTTTAATCACCATTCTTCAACGACGGTTGGAGCGATGGGCCGAACATTTTGGTTCGCAGTTTTGTTGGCCCCCAGCTCCATCTGCTACCTCTGACGCTCGCGCTGGGGCCGAGTGGTCTACCTTCACAGATCCCCCCTCTTATCAGGAACTCGAGCAGGAGCTCTGGCACATGAAGCACTATAAAGCTCCCGGCTCTGATGGTCTTCCTCCAGCTCTATTTAAAGATGGTGGCGCTTCGCTGGTTCGAGAACTCACTGCTTTGTTCTCGAAAATTTCGTCGAAAGAGAAAGTTCCGTCATCTTGTAATGAATCCATAGTCGTCCCCATCATCAGAAAGGGCTTGCGCACAATCTGCTCCAACTACAGGGGCATAAGCTTAATCCTCATCGTTTGTAAGCTGCTGGTGTCCATCATACTTCGCAGGCTATCCCCAACGCGCGAATCGTTGCAACGAGAAGAACAAGCTGGGTTTCGTCCTGGTCGCGGCTGCATCGATCAAATCTCCACACTCCGCCATATTCTCGAGCTCCGCCATGTGTATCAGAGGCCAACGATTGCTGTGTTCCTGGATATCCGTGCAGCCTTCGATTCCATCAATCGTACGGTACTGTGGCACTGCCTACTGAGGGATGATGTCCCGGAGAAGTTCGTCTCCATACTGCGCGCTCTATATAGTCTGACCTCGGGCAGCGTTAGGGCTTATGGCAAGCTTTGGCCTACGTTTGTGGTCTCCAGTGGAGTTCGGCACGGATGCCCTATCTCTCCGTTCCTTCAACTTTGCCACTGAGCATGTCCGGAAGAAGGCTCTGGGCGATTCCTTTACCGCTGGCGTTAAGCTCTTCCCAGATAGTCGAGTTGTTGACTTGGATTATGCTGATGAAATCGTCTTGCTGGGTGACGATCCACATGTCGTCCAACTTGCACTAAACCGCTTGGCGATTGAAGCATCAAAGTATGATATGTACTTTTCGCCATCCAAATGCAAGGCTCTCTTCCAAGACTGGCAGGTGCCTCTGCCTGCACTCACTCTTGGTGGTGAAACACTAGAGGTTGTGGAGAGCTTTGTCTACTTGGGAAGTTGCATCACTGCTGACAGGGCTGTTGGAGACGAGATTTGGATGCGCATCTCGAGAGCACGCCTCGCTTTTTCTCGGCTGAGGCATTTGTGGCGTCGCCACGACATTCGTCTCTCCATCAAAGGGCGGGTCTATTGTGCAACTGTTCGTGCTGTACTGTTGTACGGATGCAAGACCTGGCCCATTCGTAAAGATGACTTGCGCAGGCTATCCGTCTTCGAGCACCGCTGTCTGCGGTTCATTGCCCGTGGGTGTTGGCAGCACCACGTAAGCAATGCAGAAAGTAGACAGCTTGTCTTGGGACGTGGAAGCCACTCGATCGAGAAGCTCATCTCACTGCATCAACTGCGGTGGTTGGGACACGTATTGCGCATGCCTGTCCAGCGTTACCCGCGTCGTGCGTTGTTTGCGGTTGCTGGACAGGGCTGGAGAAGACGGTCTGGGTGACAGCCTACAACATGGAGAAGCCTCATGAAAAAGCTGACGAAACAGTTGGCCTCGGCCGGTTGTTGTCGACTACCTGGTTGGGGCCCGAGAGATGCGGATACTTGCTGGTTGAAGACCTTGGAAGCCATGGCTCAAGATCGATGTCAATGGCGAACATGTGCATCGATGTGTTGCGGTGTCCCTTCTTCCTCCTCCTAAAAATGAACAAACTGAAAAAATTGCAAAAACTGTAAGTAGTAAAATAGACACAAAAAAAGCTTATGTTGTTGTTGCTCTTTCTTATTATTCATACTGTCTTCCTATTCAGTCATGATTCCGATGGCACAATATCTGTACCATAGATTGTGTATTTTACATTATATATATATATATATATATATATATATATATATATATAGTGGATGCCTTCCGATGACCCAATTCACGGTGAGCTGATTTAGTTAGATAAAAGGGTGTTAGTGCCATGACAGTCGGGAAACGGCTTCAAAATCTTTAAAACTAAAAATAGCTAAATAGTAGTAGATCTAGCGAAGTAGTGCTCCGTAGCATAATTTGTCGGAAATGCATTACATTTGGCAAGTTCTTCTTACATTTTCCGTTAGTTGAAGAAGAACGTGTCAGCTTATTCATCAGCATCTGTGTGACACCTTTGTTTAACCAGTGCGGCGATATCGGCCGCGTCGTTCACGTTCTCAGTAGCCATCTTCAACAGTTTCAGTTCCATTTGTGGGCTCTTCAGTTGTTTTTCCACATTATGACTGTGCTCTGTACGGAACTTGTCACTTGGCCTTTGATGTGACGGCACCACTGTTTGGAAAGGAATTTTCCCTTTCATTAGCCTTTGTTCTTAAATTTCTACACTTTTCTTTGACTTATACATAGCTGTGCTTCGTCAAATGTTTCCCTCCTCCTGCCGTTTTGCTCTGTAGTGGTACTTTTCTTGTGGGGAGCACGCTCGTGTGCAATCTCTGCTCACTCTTCTTGAGCAACTCAAGAAGTCCGATTCCTCTGCTGAAGTTGACCATTATCCGGAGCCAGCAGCTCCCAGTCTTTCACGAGCGCCGTGGTCCCATCAGACGAAGCCATTCGTCGACCGATTAAAGGAAGTATCGGATCCAGTGTATCGTTTTTTGCACCGCGAAGACGCACGCGATCACGCTTGGCCTCACCTGATGTCTACTCGGCATTATTCAAAAGTGAGTCTGTTTTGTCCACCTACTTCACATGGCTTCTCGCAGAAGCTCGCCTTTGTTTTGTTCAGCTTGAATGTATATCAGTTTGCGGAATTATTTGTTGGATTTTTCCTCGGACAAACTTTTCACATAGATAATATTCGCAGTAAACCACGTTCAGTGTTACTGCTGTGTATGATTTTTCACTCTTCCAATTGATTCCTTTGTTTTTGAGTTGTATGGACACTTGGTTCTTTGTTTTTGAATCTCCATGTTTCCATCTTAAGGCTGCGCGCATTTTGTTCGAGGAAGGATGCAAGGAACTCCGTTTCGTAGGACGCAGAAAAACGCTTTTGAGTCTGGCCAAACTCGCCATTCTGGCGTCAGATCCCGATGTGCCCTGTCCGGAGGCAGGAGACGTCTCCTTTGAAAAGGATCCGCTCGTCACGAAAATCGACCTTCTTTTGGAGTGGATCTGGTTCCAGGTACTGCCTTACACAAATGTGCTAACGACGCCCCGCGATTGGGAGCGATTCATATTTTTATTACCGCACCTATTTATTTGTTTATTATGTGGCGTCGCGAGAAGATTGTGTGCCCCCTCAAAACTCTTCTTACATGACGTTCACACTACAGCGAAGCAGATTTTAGAGCATTCCGTCGTCTAACCAAACTCATACCCGACATGTCCAATTAATTTTTCTCTAAACTACAGCCTGTACAGCTCTGTGTTCGCTTTTGGCCTAATCAATACAATCACCTTTGCCAGCGGTTAGCATTTCCTCTCGAACAGGCGTGGAGTTCACTTTCTTTCTCGCTTCTGGTATTACTCCGTTAAGCAATGGACATTTTTGTTTCCTATTCGGCCATTATGATTCGATGGGCCGTATATTATCTGGATACCGTCAAGCTACTCTACCCATGGCAAACAATGAAGATGCGATCGTTATGATCGGTTAATTAAGATATAACGTTTAGATTTTCTCTATTTATTTACGCTTCTCATTGTTGCGTAATCTCTGGGTCTACAGCCTTGTTTTTATATTTTACTCATATGAAACTACCATCAATTTAATTGAACTACTACAATGCGGGTATCCAGTTACAGGGGAACACGTCGTTCGGCGTCTCCGGATTAACAATAAATAACAACGGTAGTAAAATGAGGATAGGAAGAATATGACGTCAAATATATATATATATATATATATATATATATATATATATATATATATATATATATATATATATATATATATATATATATATATATATATATATAGCCATTAGAATCTTCTTGGAATAAAAAACAGGACCGGAATAAGAAAAAAAATTCGACTTTTCCAATTTTTCACTCAGTTTTTGAATTGATTTTAAATCGTTTTATTAGCAAAGGGAACTGGGATCACCGCAACACACAGAGATACACGTCCTCCATTGACATCGGTCTTGAGCCATGACTTCCCAGAAATTAAAAAGGAAGTGCACTAAAATACTCGGAATAGAATACGTAGAACCAGGCACCAACAAGAAACCAAGTGCAGGAACGCTGAGTGTGCGATTGCTCCAGCGTAAGTGATTAAGATTCAGCAAACACTCCAGTGAGGCGCCTAAAGGCTTGTCAAAAACCAGCTGTTTGCCCTCAGCATTGTTCGACCGGTGTTCCCACCACATGTAAACAATACTCCGCAAGTGCCGGTAGCCAAACACTATCAATCGTTTAATTTATTCACTGCGAACTGGCCAGGTCTCTGATCTATACAGTAAAACTGGCCTTATCGCAACGTTGTACACCCTACCTTTCACCGACAGGCTGTTATCCTGCCGTTTCCATAGGCGTTTGAGTCTATGGTAAGTCACAAGGCCTTGCTGATGCACAGAGTAACTCCCTCGATGATGTGACTACCGGAAGGGGCACAGCTACCAAGGTGAGTGACCCGGTCCACCACTTCCAGTAACTTTTCGGTGATAGCTGGAACCATTGACGTGTAGATACAGTCCTGCAACAGTGATTTGCGCTTTGAAGGTTTCGAACAAATGCCGAAGCGTACGGCGCTACGCGTCAGTTTATTCAACATTAATTACATAGCCACTGCGTCGGACTCAAGAAGAGCTATGTCGTCCGCATACTCCAGGTTCTTTAGTCGGTCGCCTAGCAGAACTTCCACTTCGGTAGTATCTGAAAGAACCGATTCATTCATGATCATTTCCATCAACAAATTGAAGCGGAAAGGCGATGCAGGACAACCTTGGTGGACCGCACTTTCCGTGGGGAACTCAAGAGAGAGATTTCCGTATACTCTCACACGGCCTCAAGAGTCACGGTAGTGAGACTGTATAATGGAAGGGATTTTATCTCGCACTCCCTTCATGGATAGGCATTACCACAAGCTAACACGTCAACAGAATCGAAGGCGGTTTTCAAATCAAGGAAAACCACCTTGGTCGGTCGTCTGTGTGTTTCTGCACTATCGTTTATCGAAAAATAACTATGTGATCGATGCAGCCACGACCAGTTGCCTCTTGTTGGCGAAAAACTCGAGATAGTTGATCAGTACACCTACCTTAGCAGCTGCATCAGCAACGATGGGCTCATAGCAACTGAAGTCAGTTCACGTATTGCAAAACGCGGAGCTCTCTTCTTAACTCCGCGACATCTTTGGCCTTAGAGAGTTCCTTTCATTTTTGAAGATCGTGCTTACAGGACCACAGTGAGGAATATCCTACTATGGAGGTGAAACTTAACCCCTTCGGTCTGAGCATCTGAGACTCCTTCAAGTCTTTGACCATCGTTGTCTGCGGAGCATTCCTGGTGTCGAGTGACACCAACGCATCCGCAACGATGACGTGTGTAGGCGAGTACTAGATAGTTGTAACTAAGTTAATCCCTTAGAACAGCAGATATGACTGAATAAGTTGCATTGGCTTGGGCGCATACTACGTAGTCCGGTCACGGCTTTCCGAGGATAATCTTGTTTTGTTTGCCAGATGTAGGGTGGCTTAAGGCTGGAGATTGGTAGAAATTAACATGGCAGCAAGGAGTGAAGTCATTGACTACCCAACTCTGTGTTGCCTGTCTTTCTCGTCTACCAGGTTAGAATCCATGTCACTCACCTTATGCTTGGTTAGAAAGTTTACGGGACATAGTTCGCACTCTGTTCCACTGGCGTGTCTGCTGTTGTCTTTTAGTCGGACTGGCTGTTTAAAGTGTGTTGGGGGATATTATTTGCGGGGTAATGACTGATTATGACGTTGGACAGTGAAAGCCGCGAAGAAGTTGTCTCGCAGATGCCGCTTTATCTTTGCACGATAGCCAACTGTTTGGTTGCATGTTGTTTACTAGGTGTAGGCACTTTGACCCTGGATGTTTGCTCAGGGCATTAAAGTTTTCCGGTAGGTCTCCCTTCTCTCCCTATTATTTTTCTTCGTCCCGTGGGTCATCGTGGTTGTATTGCAGTTCAAATGGCTGTTGATAGTGATGATTATGATGGCTTTTTCTCTGTTGTCGTTTCAGGGCCTTGTGGACGCGTTGAAACTAAACTACCCAGTGGAACCTTTTTGCCTGCTTCGACTAAACTGTGTTATGCCTCAGAGACACCTATACAGAGTTCCGACTTCTTATGTTGGGCCTACAGTAGGTGTCAATGGCATTCTTTATGACACACTTGAGACTATCCCAATCTACATTCGGCTCACCAACCTCATTCATCACTGACATTCGGTGGGCCATCTCGTCATGATATTGTTGAACTGCCGACCGCAAGTTCAAGTTGTTAATAAGAAGGTTAGGTGTTAAGCGCTTCTTCTTAGTGGGACTAATGAGCGCCAGGCGTTCGCGCACGAGAACATGGTTGGAGTACAGGCATGTAGCTCAGATTTGCCGCTAGTCTTAGACTGAATTGCGCTATCTATAGCTGTTTGCAAAATGGTCACATTGTTCTGGATCACTGAGGAATTCCGTGCGCGCCGGGTGACACGATGCGAACACTTGTGCTGGAAAGTGTTGCTGCCAATATAAAGGTTGTGATCAGCGCACAGTTACAGGAATCTATCACCGTTATCTATTCGGCGTACAACAACTCCAATACATCCTTCCGGGTGTTGTTCAGAGTCTGGAAGGCGAAGCGCTAGCTTGTTCAAGTCACAAGCGACAATCACCTTGTCATTGTTGTTCGCCGTACGGAGAAGAAACGAAAGATGATGATAGAAACCGTCTTTGATGCCCTCCGAATTGTAGTCAGTAGGAGCATTAATGAAAGCGATAAAAATACATCTTATCTTCAGAGAGTGCTTGTTAATCCCAATAGGGGCTCGTAGTCGAGTCGCACATATGCAGCTGTTCACTGGTAGATTGCATTCAGCGTGTTTGCTGAGACCGGTACCGTAAATGCCTTTAGCCATTGATTTAGTACCGCCAGAAAAACAAGGAGTGTAGTCATTGTCTTAAGATTCAGGATCAGGGAGTCAATGATATGTCACGACGCTGTTATCTTGTACGCTTGTTTCGTAGACACAGCACACATCGTTACCATGAGAGTTAGTGCTGGCTGTTGGTTGATCTGAACCAAAGTGCGGATGTTGAACGAACCAATGTGAGATGAGACCTTTGACTTAAGCGACGAGTTTCATGTGTCGATGGAGTAGCTGCGAAGTCTGTGGCACTCTCTTAATGCACCTGGAAGAAGCGAGTTGTAAGGAAAGTAAAAACAATGAGAAGTGGGAGCATTATCTACGGGGTTGAGAGAGAGATGGTACTCTCCGGCCTCCCATTCCGGAAGAGGGTTTCTTTTCGAGGTGCCCTACCTCTACCCTTTGAGTCAAGACAGTAGAGTGCAAGTTTAGCCCGGGAGTGTAATCGTACAGGCCCATTCTGATCAACTTGTGGTCTGTCCCACACAGCCTTGAAGGTTTGGACCGATTCACGTGTGTTTTTCAACACCATGCTGAGGCTGATATTGCATGCATCATGCTACTAAACAACAGTTGGTCTACACCGTGTTACGCTTAAGCTAGATCTTCTTAATACGGATGAGAAGTATTTCACTTTATTTTACCGCCTAAGTTATGTTATTCTGCTGCATATTCCGTCATTTTCACGCATTTATTTACCTTCAACTTCTATGTTGGTTGTTGGATATCCGCGGTGTGGCTGCGCTTGATGTGAATTTTGACAAGGTGCTTACTTGTCTAACACCCTACACCTCGATTGCTGGCTCCAGGAGACTGCTAATCTTTGTTGGAGGGATGGGGTACACGGTCCTCTTGACCGTGCTAGGCTCGATAAGCGGTTCCATGCACTCAGTGTTTAACGGACTACGACTTAACCACCGTCCTGTGTGCGTCCCAAATTAAGTGGACAGGAATACTGTTTCTGTTCATCTTGGAGGAGTTTGTGCCATCTCTGTCGATGAAAGGTGGCTCCCGTCCACATACCTCCAGGTCTTATTCCTTCGGATTTACGCTGCATATGAGGTGTGTGTAGATGGAGCTGTGGGTGATGCATGACAATCTACCCATGTTACCTCTGTAGGTGCAGTCATCCTGTGACTGTCCCAGTGGAGGCCGCAGTGACAAACAAATCCGGAATCGGATGCCACCAATCATTTATTATACTCACTACAACCAGCTGCATGTGGGAGTTGGTGGGTTTGCACCCATTTGTCTACATCGGGCGATAGCAAACCATAGAGCGCACCGGCCGGTGCTCTCTCATCAACCTCTTCCTAACCTCCAGTACTTTGTGAGACTGAGTTAATCTAACTCCTAACCATCGACTTGTCTATTAGTGGATTTGAAGACACTTAGAAAGTGCTACCCAGCGTAGCTCAGTGGGTCATTGAGGTATGCAAACCATCGCACCACGCTAAGGTCCAGCCTCGTCTCGGTGGAGCTGTATCATTAAAGCCAGTTAGACTTATTTATTTTCCGAGTTCTCAACTATCAACTTTTCTAAATTTTTAGTAATAAGCACTGTCCTGCACGTATTTGATCACTTCTGGGTATTGTTCAATAATTAAGGCGATCATTCTCTGCATTTGATTACCGTAATTTTGTTTACTTTTGTTTCCCATGTGATATTTTCCAAAGTATTTTTCTGTCTAGTTGCACACATTTTTAATGCTTTGTTTATCAAATATTTATTTTTGTCCTGCTTCGCCTTCTTGAAGTAGTCTGTGAGTTACATTACAGCGCCACACACGTCGTTTCCTTCCAACACTGCGTTCATTAACTTTGTAGGAACATCTTCCCAGTGAACTGCGAGTCAAATCTATACTCCACACACTGAGTGATCACGGACTTGGAGAACATCACGATCCTGTGATAAGCATAGAGGCCTTGGCTCGCTTGTACGTTAGCTCAGTTGATCACGCGAGTAACGGGGATCTTAGAGATTCATCGGAGAATCCGGATTCGATTTCTTCACACGAGGATGCTGAGCCCTTCCGTTGTGATCTAGCGGAGTTCCGTGCTGCCTTCCGTCTGGCCGACCTCCTAGTAGAGGTGAACGATTTGTCATCGAAGTACGCCTGTACTGATCCTACCGTTACACGTGATGCGCTGCTGACACATATATGGTGCCAAGCTTTGAAAATGAATGAGTGAGTCATTTTGATCCACTGTGTTTCTCATTGCTCTTTTTGGTGTTTGTGTCGGTCGCTTTTCGGCACTGGTTAAGATAATGCCGATAACACGGCTATTCAGTATTCTCACACCTCAGTACTTATTGGGACAAATTTGCCTAGATAGCATCGTCTGTGCATGGTCAGATCACGTGTTATTCTGCACAATATATATATATATATATATGTATATATGTATATATATATATATACATATATATATATATACATATATATATATGCGTCTGTGTATTTGTGAAGGAAAAGTTCACAACCATCCGTGCTACAATATAAGATGCGCGCTGTGCTCATAATGATACAAATATTCAAGGCATCAACGTTTCAAGCTTATCAATCGGCATATAATTGCTGTCAATAGTTTTTCTGTGACGATATCCAACCACATGCTGTGGAACGATGCCATGCCTTCCTTTTCCGTGGTTTGCTTCCACTTATGCTTCATGGCCGAATTACACACACGTACCTGTTCACTGCGGCCTGTCCGTGTTGATTGCTTCCATAAACTCCCGGAGGCATAAACTCTGCTTCATCTGTCCCTCCAACCTCGTGGTCATCTAATCCAGGTACTTCGATTTTCCTTGACGCGCCTAGGTCTTGTGTGCGTATCTCGGTGAAAATGTCTGTTATTATTATTATCATTATAATTATATATGTTAGCTAGCAATGGGAGACACCTCAGCTACTGCGCCGCAATACCTAAAAGAAAAAAATGGGAATAAAATACAACAGGTGCAAGCCAGCTGAGCTACAGCTAATGGATGGGCATCGTTCCGGTAAGCTACCTGTCGGCTACTATGCAGCAAAAAATAACTTACTATGCAAAATTATAAAAGCTACAAAAGGCTAAGTAGTGAGATTGTGGTTGGAGGGGAAGGCTACGAGGAATGGGTGGGACAAAGAAACTCACAGCACGAACGCCACTGACTTCGGCTCCTAGCCATATCAACAAGTGTATCCAGCCAAAGCGTGGTTCCATGCACTCTGAGTGGAGCGGACTACGGTCCAGCCACCACCCTGTGTGCAATTGCTTCCCAACTACAGCGTGCCTGTGTTTGCATGTGAAGGAGTGTGGGCCGGCCCCGTTGATGAAACGTGGCTCCCATCCACTTGTCTCCCGGTCTTATTCCTTCGGGTTTACACTGGATATGGGGTGTGTGGTTGGAGCTGTGGGTAGTGCAACGCAAGCCACCCATGGTCCCTCTGTAGACCCAGGCATCCTGTGGCTGGCGACAGTGACAGGCAAATCCGAAACCGGATGCCGACAACCATCCAGCCAAACGTGTTCATCGTCTTTCGGACCGCAACGAGGAAGCCGAGACGCTCCAACTGAGCCCAGCTTCGAAGTGTGGGCCTTCATTCCTCTCGACCAAGTAATCGCTTGGCCACCCCTCTTCTGCTACCCACACTCCCGGCGTGCAAACAACGCACCTCGCGGGAGTCGGTTGGCTGGCATGAATAACACCTGGCCGAGCCATCGGACCATGATGCGTAACATAACGGTGCTGAGCGGTTAATTTCGTTTTCCTGTGCCGTAACCAAGGCGTCGAACACGCTCGTTACACACGCGGTGTTCCTACCAGGTGTGAGCCAAACTGCGAAGGCACCGGTGATCGAACGTAACTAGCCTTTTATGTCCGCTGGTCTAAGGGGCCAGCTTTCACAACCGTATAGTAGGGTCGCACGTACCGCTGCATTGTACACTCTACCCTTCAGGGCAAGGGTGATGTCGCGCCGGCGCCATAAGTGGCGAAGGTTAGCAAAAGCGCCTCGAGCTTTTGCTATACGCTTCGTGATCTCATCTGCAATCCCACGGACGCTGATACAACTTCCCAAGTAGTTGAATTTTTGAACGACCTAGCTGATCACCACTAAAGGTCACCGAAGCAGGCGGTCCAGGCCAATCTTGGAGGTACGCTTTGCACTCCGATGGTGCAAAGCACAGCCCGAAACGGCTGACAGCCAGTGCTAATCTGTACAGTGCCGCTTGGCACGTTCGTGAGTTGTCACAGATTAGGGCAATATCATCAGTTTACTCTTAGTCAAGAAATCGTTCTCCTGGAAGAGATTCATACCTTCTAAGTCATGTCCTGTGAACGCGATTCCCATGACTTCGTCAATAGCGAGGTTGAAGGGGAGCGGTAACAACGGGCATCCTTATCTCATACCGCTGGAGATATTAAAGGGCAACGACAGCTTGCCGTAAACCCTCACTCTGCCTTAGCTACGTGCATATAATGATTGGATAATCTTTACCTATTTCTCAGGGACAGCTTTCCTGAGTAGACAGTCTCCAAGTGCACCGAATCGAAGGCGCCTTTGATATCGCGGAACATGATAACGGTGGACCTCCAATATATGTGACGATGCTCCAACTACTGACTCAAAGTGAAGATGTGGTCAATGCAGCCACGACCTCGACGAAACCCGACTTGGTCTTCAGGAATATGGCTTTCACAAGTGCCAGTCAGTCTGTGAAGGGTGACAGAGGCAAGCAATTTGGATTCGATGAGGATCAGACTGATTCCTCTATGGCTGCCGCATTCCGATCGTGAGCATCTCATGGAAATTGGGACTATTACGGAGCGGCTCCAGTCCATTAGGACCGTTTCCTGCTCCCGCAGTTTCACTAGTAACTCGTGTAAATCATCCAAAAGAGCGGGTCCCTGGAATTTGGCAAGGGCTAGAGGTAGATCACCTGGTCCTGCGGCTTTATTTCACAGTTCGATCTCACGTTCGACTTCTGAGCGAGAGGGTGGATCCAAAGGGACATCCCAGGAAGCGGGGCAATCAGTGGCCGGCGAGAAATCTAACAATCCCGACCGATTAAATTGACTTTCAAAGTGCTCAGCCAAACGTTCCATGCGTTTTGATAAGTTGTGGATGGGCTGTCCCCTCTCGTCACGTACAGTCTCACTAACACCAGGTCTCCTGCTGCCCGTTTCCCGTATCAGACGGAATAACTTTCGATGGTTACCAAGGGCAGCGGCCATTTCCATCTCTGAAGCACCATGAGACCACCAGGATTCGCTGTTTCTCTTCAGGCTAGCACAGAGTTTTGCCCGGAGCTTTTTGCTAGTTTCATTGTGTTCGCTTCCAGCCGGAATATGCCGGCGAGCATCTATAAGTTCCAAAGACTGTGAAGAGACCCATTGTCCATGTCGGCGATTAGACTTACCACATGCGGATTTGCCTGCTGCATGTAAGGTCTGGTGAATATGTGACCAGTGAGCTTCAAATGCATCCAGTGGCAGCTTACTCAACTCGGATGACAGCGTACTTTGATTGGCATTCAGAACAGCTGGTTTCGCCAGTTGGCTGGTGTCAATGCGCTCACGTCGTCTTGGGGTTCAGCCAAAACGCATCTGTAGGTCAGCACATACAAGTGCATAGTTGGTGTCCACACCTGTGTTCCAAATGGAACGACAGTTCTGGACGCAGCTTCTCCATCGGTAACTTTTTGCAATGTGATCGATTTGCGTCCATAGCTAGTGGGCGCCAAGTCATCCTCTGGCGGGTGCTTTATCGGGAATTAGTGCTCTCAAGAAATAAGCGAGCATCCTCACACAAATGAAGTAACCGCTCACCGTTATCATTATGGGAGCGTACACCATGTTGGCCGTCCGGATGCAGCTCATCAGTGGATAATTTTCCAACTTGAGCGTTCAGATCCCCAGCCAGCACAACAGTGTCCGTGCTTCTTCTGTGGCGAAGGAGCTGGATCAGTTGGCGGTAGAAGTCGTTCTTTACCGAATCATCGCTAGAGTTTGTGAGTGCATATGTAGCGATAACGAATAGACACCTGTTAGTCCCGTGCGACTTCAAAGTTTTGAACGGGCTAGTCAAGCGGACCGCACACAACGGGCTGCTGATTTGAATCCAGTCAACCAGAGTAGCTTCAGCCCGGGGACTCAGGGCAATACCAATACCGGCTTGGCCGGTGCTCGAATCTGCATTTTCACTTGATAGGCATAATGCAAAAGTTCTGCTGGTGTCACTTGAAGGGGATCGCAAAGTGTGCACTGAGCTCGAGTCTTGCAGTCGGGTCTCCGGTAAATTGCAGATATCGATCGAGAGGGTCTCTAATGCTGGGGCACGTGCTTCCTGTTGACCGATCTGCAGCAATGTGCGTACATTGAGGCATGCCAATCTGAAGGAGGATCCAGGGCTCCAAATGGAAGTCGATGAACTGGGCTTGGCCGCTTGATTGGACATGGATTTGTCCACAGGGCACGATGACGCTCCGCGTTCATATGTGATTTGAAACTAAAAGGTAAAAGTCTATCAAAGCAAGGTAGGGGAGGGTCAAGAATTGGGGGATTGAAAACAGGGGGTTAAAAGTGAAGCTTTAAGGGACGGAAAGATAGTGAAAGCGTAAGTTGAGGAATAAGAAGATGGGTAGGCTTGAGCAGTAGCATCCAAACCCCTATCTACCCTGCTCGATGCAGCGTCCAGAGCATCAAGCAACTGTTTGAAGAGAAATTCATTGTACTGCGTGGGCAGGATACTGTCAGCTTGCCCAGGGCTAGACAGGAGAGCGATTAGGGTTCTTAAGCAAAGCATTTGGTTCAAAAACCTTATCGCAAGGCAGCGGATTTGGCGTTGGGTTACAAGGAGTCCGTTTTGAGGAATAAAGAGCCCCCTCATTCCATCCCCCGACCTGGCGGACCAGGATGCTGAGTTGGCCTGGCCTCCAACCATTGATTAATCTGGGATGAGTGACTCTGAAGGTCCAAAATAGGACCACATAGCATAGCTCAAGTGATCTCTGAAGCATAGAAACCATCGCACCACGGTAAGGTTCAACCTCATTGCGATGAGCAATGTGTGTTAGCTGTATTGACTATCGTTTTATTTATTGCCTGGTTGGTTGGTTGGTTGATTGGTTGATATATTTCTGCATTAACTTTATTATTCGCAATGCTTTTCGATCTACTGGTGGTCAATTTGCTGCAAGTGCA